TGAGTGTATCATCCTATAACAGTGTTGGTATGATCCACTTTGTAATTGTTACAAATGATTGGATTCAAATCATTCATGTGTACGACATTTGAGTGAGAATATTGTATATAATGGGTTTGTATAAGACTGGATCACAAAATATTTAATCTCTCTTTATAAATTCGTCAATTGAGAATATTAATATTTCACATGATGATCATATGCGACTCGATCTTAATACTATGTGAGTTACGAACTCCTACCTAAAGTTCTTCCTTTGATTTGCGTGAGTGAGAAAGGCTTTTTTTTTTTTTTTTTTTAAGTCAATTGGAAACCTAATATGATAAGATGAAATTTACTTTTTTCCATATAGTAAAAAGGAGATGAGTTGTTTTTTAAGTGCTAATTTCAAGACTGAATAATAGGGTCCCACCTTCTCATTAGCCCTGGGTTTGAACTAAGGCAATATGTTACAAAAAAATCTTACTTGTCGGTTTCTTGTAGCTCAAGCGTAACGTTGGCAACCCCGTCAATCATCTTCATCGAGCATTCTTGTTGGCGAACTTTGTTCTTTCTTTTGTAGAACCTGCAAAAAATGAACTAGGCTCTATTCTCATTGATAAGGGATCTAATTGAACATTTAGATCACAAATGTTTGAACTCTTTCATCAAGATTTCACCTCAAATAATATGAAATTTATAGGAATTTGATCTTAAAGAACTAGACTTTTTGATCTAAAATATGAAAGAACAAAAAATAATAGCGACTCAAAGAAAAATAAGATCTAAATTATCTAGTTGATCAAATATCTATAAAAAAAAACTTGTTTAAGATTTAAATCAATTTACGAGTAAAATTGATCAAGTCAGATTTTAATGATTCTATGCATGCCACTTAAATTATATAAAATTATAAAGAAATTTTGTTTTAGGCTACATTTTTAAAGTTTATTTTAGGAAGATAACATATATAATTTAGGGTCGGCATTGGATCAAAACAACAACATTTGGTATGTTTCAGTACAAAGCGAGCATGAAATCAGTTAGGTATAACTTCGCTTAAGGGTGAACAACCAACTATTGGAAGTTTGATTTGATTTCGAACGAGTTTGATTAGTTTTTTCTTGTGAACTTAAAAGTCTGATCTTGGGATCAGCTATAAATGTGTAGAAATTGATTCCTTAAAACCAATCACCTACAAAAGTACCCGAAAGAATCTATAACTAGGAGACTATACTCCTAAGTTGAGCTCCCTACGTCTAAATCACAAATGACTTAGGATTAATATTATATGTAAATTTTGACTAACCAACATTTTTGGACGAAAAAAAAAAAAAAAGCCAGACCATGAAAAACAAATGTGGAAATAAGCTCAAGCCAGTCTCGATTGGTCGAGTTGAACCATACTGACCTTGGTTGAACTAAACTACTCTCAAGGTCTATTTTGATCTTGGGAGAGGAATATTGAACCAAAAGCCTAAGAGTCCACCTCGGCCTATGCTTCGGCCAAGGTGAGTCAACATTAGCCAAGCTTCGATCAAAGTTGATCCCGTCTCACTCCAATTCTTAAAAAAGAAGAGGAAAAAAAAAAACTATGGTAAATCTAAGTCAAGTCATCTTATAAAAACCTTATTCTTGTTCATCAAAGGTAATGTTATAAGCTTGGCGAGGCAGTTTGGAATTAATGATCCAAATAGTGTAGCAAACGCTTGGCATGAGCAACCAAGCCTGCCCTCTCATGGGTTACTATCTTAGTCTGGTAAAGGACTTGATCAATCTCAGCCCCAAAGCTTCTTAGCGTCTGAAACAGCATTGCAACTCTCTCCATACCAAAATATACTCACTCCTCATTCTCGAAAAATATACTCGACATAGTCGAATAGCGAACGGTATTAGGCACGACATCCACAGCCCGAGCCTCTCTAAAAAGCCTAGCTTTCACAAACACATTTATCATAGAATATAGGCTACAATATTATGGGGGGGGGAATCTCTCATCTCTTCGATCTCGAAAATATAGAAATAACTATAATTTATAAATAAGTATATCTATCAATAGCATGCGTACTACTATAACATGTTAGAATAGAGTGTTTTTTTTGGGTACTAAAGAGAAACGCAAGATGGAATGTTTTTTTTTAACTTGTTCGTACCAATTTTTAGTGATGAGAAATGTGATTGGTGGAGCATCGTGGTGAAGAGCGTGCTTAGATCGTAGGAGCCATGAGACCTAGTAGGATACGAGTTTATTGATATATTAAAATCCAGAGCAGAAGAAAAAGCACTTCAAGTGAAGGAGACAACCTCCAACCAAGGGAAAAATGTCCGTTCAACAAGTACAGGTCGTGGAAGAGGAAAATTTTGGGGCAACCATAGTTGTGGTAACAAGAGTATAAGGAGAAATGATGGACAAAGACAGTTGATTGAGCAAAGTAACATGATACTCAATATTTTCGTCACAGAGGATATAGACATATAAAAGTAGATTGTTGGTATAAAGATCCACCGATCAATTTTATTAAATACATCAACTTTAGCATCACCAAACATCAACTCTTTTATTGAAGAATCTTCAGACGAGACACTGCCAAGAAAATATAAATCTTAAGTTAACATATATGCATCTTATAGATTTTCTCTTATTGTTTCAGACTCTATAAGTTATGAAGAAGTATCTAAACGAAAAGAGTGATAGAAAACTAAGGTAGATGAGAGGCAATAATTGAGAAGAAAAAAACATGGGAGATGTTAATTTACCAAAAAAAAATGCAATTAACTTTAAATAGGCGTTCAAGTAAAATATGCATTAAATGGAAGCATATAAGCATAAAGCTCTTCTCGTGGCAAAATAGAAGAAGCTTTCTTTTCAATAGTTCGTTTTGAAACTATAAGAACTGTTCTAAGATTGGCAGCAGACATCTTCGAAGGTTCATTATGGAGCAGTAAAATGAGTCTTGCAATATGTTGCTGGAATTAAACACTAGACAAATGCTTTACATTGGCATATAATTCCTCGCCAATTTGATGTCCAAGGTTGTCATAGCATGTACTATAGAGGGAGGCTATGATATTGGCTCTCCACCACTTATGGGCCTCAAGACCTAAGTGAACTATCTCATGGCACATGAGTGCGTGGTGTGGGCAAACATTCCAACACGAATATCTTATGTATTTCTTTTGTGAATAGATGTTTAAAGATCGTGTCGATGACATGGATGTGTTAAAATTATGCTCCTACCCTTGAATCGAAGGTTCAGTTATAGGGTGGTATGCAGAAATGACTAACGGAGAGGATTCATGCCTCAATAATGTTTAAATGGGTGGATGTTTGGAGGTCACAACTATAAATTTAACCCGTAGGCCCATTCTTTATAAATTTGATCAAAGTGAGATATTTGGTTGTTATGTCCCAACAAGTGTTGCAATGTCCGTGCTGAAATCACTCAATAAGCTTTGGTTGATAGTTTTAAAACTGTCTTGACCCAATAAAGGTTTCGAACTCATCCCAATGAAGCTTCTTATTGATTTAGAAGCGTGTTAGTCATGTTGTTGAGAATCTCGATGATGAAATAAGATGCGAGTCTTAGGATTTGGTCTAGAGTAGAAGCAAGTCGCTAAAGTTGTAATTGAAGTATAGAAAAAATTTAAATATTGATCCAAATCAGTCGATTTAGATCAAACCATGGTTGAGATCAATACTTCAATTTGGTTCGATTCCTCTACACGAATATTAATTTTCTTCCCCTATAAAAAAAAATGGTTAATTTTGTATTTATTTTATGTCAAAATTTAACATGCATTAAAAAAAATATCATACCATGTACTTTTTATGGTTGTACAGAACTATAAATAAATAGTGACATATCATAAATTACAACTTTATCAAAGTAGTTGGGTGACAATTATGCATCATAAATGTCCAAACAAATTAATGTGACATGAAAAATATGTCAAGAAAAATAGGTTTATAGATTTGATTTAATTATCATAATCAGATACTTTCTCTAATAGCCATACACTGAGTTTCTTAAAATCGGTTCAATGATTCAAAAAATTATCTGATCTCACTGATATAATTAACTAAACCAAATCAGTTCTTACATTTTACTTTGCTTCTTGACTAAGTCAGGACCAGGAGGTGTCTATACGAGCCCGCATAGTGGGTCCATGTGTGCCTGGACCGTGTGTGAGGAAGTATTACATATCCAACCCTGTCTGGAACTGGAAAGAGCCTAACATGTTACGATTTTAAAAGATAGGTCTCATCATTAAACGTGTATGATTACATTACTAACCCCAATAGTGTAGTGACTTGCTAAGTATTTCTTAAATACTCAAGCCACGTGCTACTCGGGTAAAAGTAAAGTGCCCGTGCACGGATAACAGTGATTTCTAGGATGGTCATGGTAGCCAACATAGGGAAAAAAAACAAAATTGACCTAGGGTTGTTGGTCAACCCCTTTCCTACAATTAAAAGGCACTTCCCTATTACACCTTCTTCTTGTCCTTCCATGGAGTTTTTCAACACCGCCAGAGTTGTTCGTCTTCAAAGCCATCTAGGCAAGTACCTCCAAGCCGCCGACGACCAACAATCCACCCGCCTGACCCGCAACGGCGCCACCCCTCACGTCCGATGGACGGTGGAGCTCATCGCCGGAAAGCCCCACGTCATACACCTCAAGAGCTGCTTCGGCAAGTACCTCACTGCCTCCGATGCGCCTTTCATTCTCGGCACCGCCGGGAAGAAGGTCGTCCAGGCGGATCTTGCCGCCGTCCCCAGTGAAGGCTCCATCGAGTGGGAGCCGAGGAAAGATGGGTTTTTCGTGAAGTTGAAAACGAGGGCTGGGATGTTCCTCCGTGCAAACGGCGGAGCGCCGCCGTGGAGAAACTCTGTCACTCACGATATCCCACGCCGGACGGCGACACAGGAATGGGTGCTTTGGAGTGTGGATGCTCTTGATATCACGCCGCTTGATGAGTTGGCGGCTGACTGTATCTCACCGGCGGCCAGCTTTTCGAGCAATTCGTCGTTCTCGAGTAATTCTGATTACGATTTAGAAACCCGGTCGCCGTCGATGTGCATCTCCGGTGCCGGATCTGGCCACGTCACTGACAGAGATCTGGTAAGCTTCCGGACAGCTGTTTAATTCATTTTCTCATTTTATTTGAATAGTAAAAATAAATAAATCAATATCCTTAACATTTCAAAAAAAAAAAAAATTAAAAACGTTAAAATTTCATTAATTTAACTTTTAGTTTTTTATTATTAATTATTATTTGTTCTCTTAGCTTTCTTATGAATTAAATGGTAACGAATAATGATAATAAATGATAGAATAGAGAGTGTATATAAATTATTTCATAATTAAACTAATTCTTTAAAAAAAAAAAACAATTTGCTTCGAATCTGTCAAAGTTGACCAATTCAATGACGTTGACCTCTGACTTCGATACAGAACTGACGTGAAGGACAATATAGGATGCTTTCTAGCTCACGAATTTCAAAATTGTATTTTAATTAATTACATACATATTTAATACGCTTCCTTTTATTATTGTCAACTTTTTATAAACTAAATTAATAAAAATGTCCTTGAAATGTTCATATGCCTTAAAAAAAAATATATATTATTAAACTTTTAAATAAAAATTTCAAATTATCTAAATATCCTTTTATTTTAAAAAATACCCTAAAATTTTCAAAAGTTTCATCAATATCCTTAAAGGTATTGATTTCTATTATTAGAACTATTTATGATATTTTATCAAATTATAAAAAGAAAAAATGTAATTTTAAAATGATTAATCATGAATTATAATAAATTCTGTAATTTAAAATGTAAAATTAATTGAAATAATTTGGAGTAAAATGAATTTAAAAAAAAAAAAAAATAGAGCTAGGTTTGAACCACAAAAACTATTACCGGAATTAGCAGATTCCGGCGAGGCAAAGCCGTGGGCTCCTCCTTTATCGGGTTTACGGTTCTTTCCTTCCCCCGTCGTTCATTTGCCTCTCTGCTTCTTCCTCCTGAAAAAAAGCTTCTCCTTGTAATTCGTTGTGTGTTCTTGAATTTTGATTTTGGGTCTTTTTGTTTGGAGCTCAGATCAATTGGGTTTTGCATTCGATCCCCGGTTAGGACATGATTTGTTCTGAGTTTTGAGTGTTTTTTTGTTTGTGAGCTAATTGGGCATAACTTTGGTGGGATTTAACAGAGTGCAATGGAGCTATTTCGAAGGGCACAAGTGGTTCGTCTAAAAAGCCACCATGACAAGTACCTTCTAGCAGAGGTAGACGAAGAATCCGTGTGTCAAGACCGCAATGGCTCGATCAAGAACGCCAGATGGACGGTGGAATTCGTCGAGCATTCAACCACCCTTCGCTTCAAGAGCTGCTTCGGCACGTACCTTACGGCCAGCAACATCCCCTTTCTTTTGGGCATAACTGGTAAGAAGGTCATTCAAACCCTGCCCAAAAGGCTTGATTCCTCCGTCGAGTGGGAGCCCATTAGAGAGGGCGATCAGATCAAGTTCAGAACTCGCTACGGCCAGTTCCTAAGGGCCAATGGTGGCTTGCCTCCCTGGCGAAACTCCATTACTCATGATATTCCTCATTCAACCTCCCATCAAGATTGGATTCTTTGGGACGTTGATGTTATGGTGATTCAAACTTTCAACTCTCTCGATTCCATAGCTAGTTCTACTGGATATGAACCTATTCTCCCCCCACCCCCACCACCATGGATGACAACATCCCACCACCATTCAAAGGTTGAGTCGTCGCCGTCCCGAGATCATCATTCCCATCACAAGGTTAGCTCATGATCTCAATTCTATAACTTTTCGACAAAAATAACATAGGGACAACAAATTAGGCTAAATCAATGTATAACTATTGCATAAGTATGAAATATGTGAGATTAGTAATATTTTACATATGTATTAATATCTTATGTTGATATCAAATCTAATCAAATGCAGTCAAGTGGGTCACCGGACGAATCGACAATAAAGGTCGAGGGGAGAGTGATTCATTACAAAATTGCAAACGAGAAAGGAGAAGTGGAAGAAGGAGAAGAGGTGAGGTTCATATTCAAAGGAAGTGAGGTGGAAGAGTTGAAGGAGAGATTAAAAGAGGAGACTGGCCTAGAAGACATCGTTGTCTGCTCTCGCAACCCTCTCAATCAAAAACTTTATCCTCTTCGCCTTCAACTTCCTCCCAACAACAACGACATGCACGTTGTTGTTGTCCCTTCGTCCGGAGGTTAGTATAGTTTCAAAAATTTTACTTTTCGTCCTTATAACTTTAGCTAACTGCCCATATCTTTATCATATGGAATAAGGTAGTATTTCCTAGGTTTTAAACTATTGTCTGATCTCGTCACTAAATGTTCATCAGATGTCGAAGCACCCGACGAAAGCCCGTAGAGCAGAGAAGTCAAACCACAAGGTTTTCTAGGAATGTTTTTGCAGCTCCAAAATTGACAGAAAGTCAGATTTTTTTCGTGTTAAAGTTGAGGAAGAGGAGCTCATGCTTGCTAATTCCCTATTGAATTTTTTTGTCTGAAATTTTTGTATCAATTGTAACATACAAAATGCCGCTTTGTTTGTATCAGTTGTAGTAATAATTATTATTCAGACTTTAGATACATTATTCAAACATTGTAATCTTAGTCATTGTCGAATGTTGCACATTTATTTGATTTTTTAGGTTTGAAAATGATAGTATAGGATAGCGTTTGGGATGAAGATAATGTCTACAAGAATTATAAGTCTGACTTAGGGGTAACAAGTCAACCCTTTTGGAACTCACCAAATCAATTGCAGAGCATATTAAGTTCAGGTTGGAAACAAAATTTTGAGTCTATCTCTTTCGAACGGTGAAGTCAAATTTATGATTATAAGTCTTTCTGAGAATAAGGACTTTGCTTGGATGTTTGCAGGGTATCGAATGGTGGAAGCCTAAGTTCAACGAAGAATACTAACAAAGAGGAGAAAGAGTAAGTTCATTGACATTGAAAGTATTGGCATGCTAATACAAAGTGTTTTCATTTCAAAAGATTGTATATTTTTGGAGTTAGGATGATTTGGAGAAGGTTGTCTACATGCTTGCGTTAAAAATGAGGTTTCCAATCCAGTAAGAAACAGTTCAATGTCGAGTGTATCAACGACTCATAAATGGTACCTTTGTGCTTCAATATTTAGGTCTAGAAAATTGTGGATTGTTAAGAGATTTCTAGATGAGTACAACTCCTTTGTGCTTCAATATTTAGGTCTAGAAAATTGTGGATTGTTAAGAGATTTCTAGATGAACAACTCCACGTAATATAATGGATTATGCTTGAAAAAATGATGGGATTAGCAAGATTTACAAGGGTTTTTTTCTGAAATGTTTGGTCAGGGAATAGAGTCTTTGGTTCAGAAAGGCCAACCGACCGAGTTAGTTGTATATATCTCACTTCAGCGATTTACCCTTTCTAACGGTAGATGTGATCGTTGAATGCTTAATTCTATTCCTATATGCTTAATGGGTCCTTAAGCATATTTACATTGCTCGAGTTTGTTGAAAAAATCAGTGGATAAGTATGTTCCCCTATAAGTTCTTAGTAGATGTCAGTTCATCATTTTGATCACTGTGGTCAATGTAGTGCAGGCTTCTTTGTATTAAGAGTTTCTGTTTAAACAATGTTAATTTAGAGGTTTGGATTTAATTTCAGATTGTTAAATTTTGTTGATGTCAAATTCGGTCTCTTCCTCCTTGAGATGTAGCTTCTTTTTAGGCTTTGATTTAGTTAATTAAGAACTTTAAAGTAAGAATTAGGAATATTATTAGAGCAATAAGAGTTTATGAGTAATTGATTAAGGAAGTTGTAAAGGTGATTTTTCATCAATAGAGTGGGTAGCAAAGGATGAAATATGGCAATTGATTGGTGGCTACAGGTTTGAGTAAGAATACTTAAGAGAGGGATGATTTTAGTGCCTCAAACTACTTTGGCCTCCAGCTTAGTAAGAATATGGTTCTATTAGGGTTCTATGAGAGAAACAACATTAGGCCAACCACTTCGGGAGGCAGAGATTTAACCTGTCCTGTTACATGAATTTTCCTTTCCATAGAGGAATGCCACAATAAATGAGAGAAAAAGTTCTCCAGATCATGGAAACTGTCTTAGCTAAGCTACACTACCAAGATTGGTTTCACATGGATATCAAAACTCCAATTCAACTTCAAAAACTTAGGATATTTGCAAGAAATCACCCAAAAACTGTTGGGTTTTCAAGCACACAGATGATAGGAGAAAATAAACGAAAGAATCATTAGACAAAAAAATGGTTAACAATGGGTATATCTTACAGGACAGAGAAAATCAGTCAGATTGAGCTCAAACAAGAACATGGAGTTTATATAATACGTATAAATTCAAATCACTGGTCAAGTTAGAATATAGATAATTTTCATATGTTTGCATAAAAAGAGGAAGAAGAGTGAGAGAGAGAACTTATTGCTGGAGGTTTGTCGATTTAAGTTCCACCAGAAGCTGATCGGTGCTTCTGAATCTTCTTCTCCAGCTCTTCCTTACGTGCTCCAACCACCGTATCCAACACTTTCCCTCTCCTCAGCAATACAAATGTTGGCATTGCTTGTACTCCAAAATCCTGAGCCACATCCTGATTACAGAGACACTCGTGTCATTCTTACAATTGGATTCAGGGTAAATTTCTTTGTCATTTTTTCACTTTAGTCCGTGTCAAAAAGATTCAATCTAGCAAATTATGTTTGAATATTATTCTAGAATTCAATAACATGTTGGGATGGAGATTCAAATCTCTAACATTTTAATTGAGGATACATAGGTTGAGCTGTGAGCAGGAGCTACGATGGCATAATTTGCAATAATATCATTTCCATAAGTAACTCCTCCAAGTGTCTATGATGAACTTACATGATATCATACCTATTCAGAGAGAAAAGTTTCGTATTTCGACTCCAAGCTTCTAAGAAATTAGCAGAAATTGCAAATTTTTCACTCTTATATGCCCAATTCCTCTTCTAAGCTTATGATAACTAACTACTATCAGTCAATTTCAACATAGGCAAACAGAAGGATATTATTAAAGCAACAGAGACTAAACTGACGAACACCCTAACATCAACCACCAAAATTTATAATTAGGAACAATTGCAATTAAGAATCGGATACAGAAACAAGGAATGCCAAATTAGAAGTGGAAAGACATACAGATAACTCATCGACATCGATTTTGATGAACTCAACATCAGTATATGTACTGGCCATGGCGTTGAAGGACGGCTCCATCAGCCTACAAGGTCCACACCAAGTCGCCGAGAAATCAATCACCATCTACTCTCCAACAGTCGCAAAAAATTCAAGGAAGAGACAAAATCATATCACCGCTCAACAGTAGTCCTAGAAAAAAAATCCTTTCAATCAAACGACTGGCAATGGAAAAGGTAAAATTGATTCTTACGAGCTTGGAGGATTCCTGAACGGAATCGAAGTGGAGTTTCCATCTAGCCGACGAATGAAAAGAAGACACCGACGACGGCTCCGACGAGGCAGCTTCGGCACTCGCCGTTGAGGGGCCGAACCATTTAGAAACAAGAGTGCCGATCGTTGAGAAAAGAACTCCCATTTTTCTCTCTCTCTCTATTTTCTCTCTCTTAGCAAAAGAAAATGGCGTGTTCTGTGCCGGCGTAGACTTGGAGAACCCAATGGGCCATGGCAGTTATAACTGCGGCCCAACTACCAAATATTAATTAGGGATATTTAATTCAAAAAAAAAAGGATATTTAAGGTATAAAATAGGAAAAAATAAATAAATTTTAATTGTCTCTAATTTATGATAATTTTGAAAGTTTTAAGTCTCTCTGTTAAATTATATTTTTTTATTTTTCACTGAAACATTTTTATATCTAACTTGTAAATTTTTTTCAATTTTGAGATTGGGTTACAGATTAAATTGGTTCACTAGCTCAAAACATTTATCAAAAATTTAATTTTTAATAAAAGTAAAATATTATATAATAAAATATTTATTTATTTATTTTTAAATATTTAATTAAAATTTGCAACTCACCATTAATATATATATTTTTTTTAAAAAAATGTAGGAGGGGAAGGGAGATTGAATAGCAAAAAAGATGCATTAAAGAAAGAAAAATGGAACAATATATCAATTGTAAATCTCCTCCTCAACCAGTTTCATCTGGCCCGGTTTCAAAAGGGACTCATCACACTGCAAAAAACGGTACCAAATATATGTCTATGATACCCACATCATCATCTTAACATTTATTTCTACAATCCAAAACAACTGGCGGCAACATTCATCAACACATATCATCGAGGTCTCGACAAACAACTTGGGGAGCTATGTACCAGAAAACTCTACCTTAATTCTTCCGGCCACGGCGAGTAATCAATTTGTCCTATCATGGCTTGAGGGCCAAAGCTAGTCCAACCTTAGCACTCTTGTCAATCGCTTTGGTGTCTACCTCCCCAGATACGGTGAAGAACGACTTTGGACGCCACTCGTGCTGGATAAGAGCACTGGCCTTCCCAAAGTTGTTCACTCGAGCCTTCACTGTGGTCAGTGGATCAAGTGCATGTTGGGTTCCAACAGTGATTGTATTCTCATTGGAGGAAAAGCTGTGAGCGACCTCTGCTCCAACGGCCGTGCTGGTCAAAGGGTTCACTGTGTGGTAGTATGATGCACTCAACGTATCACCCTTGTCATTCCTGGGTCATTAACGGACATAATTATCCTTAATATGTACCGAAAGGGAGTAAAACTCATAATAAACCTGTAAGAGAGTTGACTAGAAAACTCACAAGGTCAGAGAAGCAATTAGGTCTGCGTTAGCAAAGCTCAGTCCAGTATTGACTTTGGTGAAGTTTCCAGTTTTGGTGTCAAATGAGAGATCGGTACCGAGGGCAAGAAGATTTGACCCAACGACACCAGAAAAGTTGACGATAGGATTGGCTGTCAACCCAATACTCGTGCTGATTCCAGCATAGTCATGCAGATATTGCAGTTCCACCTACTTGACAAAAACAAAAATCAGTTGGGTGATTCTTATCGACCTGTTTATAACTAACTATTTCAACACGTCAGTCAGCACAAAATGAAAAAGAAAATGCACAACTCCATCAAAAAGTAGGACACAATATCCAGAGACTGAAAGTACATTATTCCATCACTCACCTTACCAGACCTTTGATCAGGGACTTTGAAACTAAGTATTGCCTTCAATCCAGGAGCAGGTTCATCCACAGTTATAGTTGTAACAAGCTACAAAATTTCAGAACAGCATTTCTTAGATTGTTAACTGATATGAGCTACAAAGAGAGGCAATCTTGCTGCTTTCAACATGAAAATGGACCAACCTATGACTATTGACTATGAAGAATTATGGTTTCCCATTCTAATCAATAAAAGTTCCAAGGAATTAAACTAGACAAGAGAGTCTACCTTCCGCAAAAAGAAGCGAGACAAAAACTTGATTCAAATGTTATATTCTACGTTGGTATTTTAGTCAATATACTACGCATGTTCATAAGCTATACATGATCATATAATCCTTGATTGTGAACAGTTCAGATGAACTTTCTGTATATCATTTAGACTTTTGCAAAGTACCTTAAGCTGCATAGTGCCCCATAATTGGATAAAAATCATAGACATTCAGATATAAACATGAAACAACAATGATACTACAAGTGAACCTTCAAATTTCTTGATAGGCTAATGGAAAAAACTATGGAAGTTCAAATGTATAAAATTTTAAAACTGGTATAAAGCAACGGGGGGAGAGCGATAGACAGAGAGACGAGCAAGAACATACTTAAATCATAATCTGAGGGATAACAAAGTAGAAAAGTTATAAGAAAAATAGATTACATTGGAGCTTGTGTCAACTTTGATATCGGTCGTGATGTTTTTGTTCTTGAGCTGAGTATTAACATCACCCAAAAACAGGTCACCCTTCTTCGTTCCTGAAGATGTTATAGCCTACAAATAAAAACACATAAACAAAGAATTAGAAAAAGCTTGTAACAATAGAGGAGAAGAATTATCGAAGTTACATCCAAAATACTAAGTACAAACAACTAGCAAGCAAGCAGCAAATCTGAGATGGAACTTGAACTTTTAATGGAAGCCTGAACTAATTCAAAGAAACCTCTGGTGCAAAAGAATTATGAATCACTGTGGATGATGATTGGTGCATGCAACACAAACAAAATGCGAAGTAACCAAACATTAGAGCAACTACAATTTATTTTACACGAAAATTATTAAAATGAAAAGAAACCAATGATGCCCCAAAAACAGAGTGGTAATGCAAGCGCATTTGTCAATGATCATTCAAATAAAAGAAAAACCTATATTCATTACCTCAAAGAACCGAAACCCAACCCAAATTATATATATCAAGGAAGGCTGTAATAAATTCTGATAATACGTTCAAAATCAATTACAAACAGAAACGAAGATTATAATTGCAATCCATAGAACAGCATAGAGAAGTCAAGAAAGTATATTAAGAAGCTTATTTTCATTTTTTGTTTTTTCTTCTCTTTTGCGTTCTTCAAGATTCATTCACCAATGGAAATTACGTCCACAAGTGTATCTTAGACACCAAAAACAGATCTAGAAACTGAAGAAAGTGTGGCAGGACGAACTCACAACTCCAGTGGGGGAGTAAGTGGTGATGGTGAACTTCTGGTCGCTCTGGTAGTCTCTGTAAAGAAGATCTGCCAAAGAAAATGGCAAAACACAACAAAATTTGAAGAAAAAATCAACAAAAATGACATACTGAACACCATATTACCCAGAAATGAAGATGAAGAAATCAATAACCTCTAGCTCTCTTGCCGATATCAGAGTAGAGACCAGGACCCTTCCCCATGATTTGTAGTAATGGAAAGTGAAACGAAAATTCCCAAAGAAATACGATAGTCCTCTTCCCCAAAGCTGTAGAAAATGGTTGGAGGAATCGGTGGCTCTCATATACACCTTCAAAACCCTAATTTCAGCGCTTTTTTTTCTTTTTTCTTTTTTTTCTTAATTGTCTTCATACCGTTGGATTCTAAGACAACGGGTCACAATGTAGCCTTTATGACCGTTGATTTTTTTTTTTTTTTTTTAATTTCTTGAAGGATGATAATATTGTATTTTTTTTCTTTTTCTTTTTTTTTTTTTTCTTTTTTCTGTGAAGCTCAAATATTTTAATTTAAGTGTATGGGAAAATTACAAAATTGAGGCGATATCATTTTAGATAAATAATTCAACAAAAATAAAAAAAAATAAAAAATAAAAAACCTTCTAAGATAATAATATTTGGTAAGTTTTATGTTTTAATGTATTCACCCCACCAATTAAGTTATGTTTTTTACTTTTTATTTTTAAATTTTTCATTGAGAAAAAAAAAATAATAACCAAGTGAGTCGGAGGTTGTTTTTGGAGTTAGCTCACTCTCGCAGGATCACAACTCTGATCCCGACCATGGAAAAATACGCAAAAAAAAAAAAAAAAAAAAAAAAAAAAAAAAAAAAAAAAAAAAAAAAAAAAAAAAAAAAAAAAAAAAAAAAAAAAAAAAAAAAAAAAAAAAAAAAAAAAAAAAAAGACGTTGACAGAACAAATCACGATAAGTTGGTCATAAGAGAGAGAGAGAAAAGAAACGACACCCAAACTATACTAGTTTGACTCAAATTTAGGAGTATGTTCAATAATGTGTAGGTTCTATTAAAATTAGCGACTACTAAAGCTCTCGATTCACGCTCCAAACTATCCTCAATAACTCAACAAAAGCTATTGACTTCCAAGGTACCACAACCCGATAAGAGAAACAATATTTTCTTGTAAAATTATCTCATTACGTCACGAAAAAAATTCTCATATATATGCGCGCGCTCGTGTACGTGGGGTACAATAACTTTCATGCATTTTTGTCTTCCATACGAAGGAGTTTAATATCACCATTGGAGTTTTGTCTTCCGTATTGTTAACAAATGATGATCTTGTCTCTTATAGGCTCTACTCCCACTACAATTGTTATATCTAATTTTCCCGATAAACTTCAAAGCTCAAAACCTATAAAAATAACTAAATAAGAGTATGGAAACCTCTTTCTAGCCGACGTGTTTTAAAATTGTGAGGTTGACGGCGATACTAACGGACCAAAGTAGACAATATTTATTGATGGTGGACTTGAATTGTTACACTGTATAGTTAACCGCACGAAAAAAAGGTTGAACTTTCATGTATTTTCAGATTGTTTTTTTTTTTTTTCAGAGAATCTTCAAAGCCCGGCTGATATTTCAACAATTTATAGTCTTTAGAGTAAAAAAATGCTAAGACATGGATAGCGAAGATTCGTTCGCTCGGGTATCGATCAAAAGTATGGCAACTTGCCCTCTATTTTGTTTATTGCACACAATACTCGTTCGTTAGTATCCATAGTGTCACGGTCATGCTCGAAGTGTGACGACACTTAGCACACACATTTACAAGCGGTCTTAAAATCATCAGTAGTATACCATAATGGGAAAAAATGGCTACAAAAAAGTATATCTCAAAAACTTCTGTTCTGCATCTGCACATGGTCTGTCCTGGTGCTTAGCGTCGATGTAATAACTTCTTGTGTTCTGATGCCACGTACCGTGTCGTGTCGTGTCGTGGCAGCATTGATGATTTAGAATGATAGCAAGGAGTAATAAGCCAACGCTACTGGCAATGCAACGAGCAAGCCTAGAAGTACCCTGACACCAAAACAAAGCCCCATTTCAGTACTAGTTGAGCCCAAGAGATGAACGTTAGAAGAGTTACCCTGTGCTTAAGACATCTGGGTGTATATTATACTCTTTGGCAAACACAAATGGAACAATGCCTTGAGAAGTGCTGCCTGTACCAAAGAACAAACAATCAAACAAAATTGTCGATCCTAGTGGCCTAGGTCTACTGCTAGCAGATATTGTCCTTTTTAGACTTTCTTTCAAGGTTTTTAAAACGCGTTTGATAAAGGGTGTTTCCGTTCTCCTCTCCAACCAATGTGGGATCTCACAATCCACCCTCTTTCAGGGCCAACGTCTTCGTTGATACTTGTTCCTTTCTCCAATCGATGTGGGACCTTTACCAAATCCACCCCCTTCGGAGACCAGCGTCCTTACTGACACACCGCCTCATGTCTACTCCTTTCAAGGAACAGCCTCCTTACTGGCACATCGCCCAATGTCGGGCTCTGATACCATTTGTAACGGCCCAGACCCACCACTAATAGATATTGGGAGAGGTTTCAGACTTTCCCTCAAGGTTTTTAAAACGCGTCCACTAGGGAGAGGTTTCCACACCCTTAGCAAGGGCGTTTCGTTCTCCTCCACAACCGATGTGGGATCTCACAACTGGTGATGCAAATTAAAACAAACCTGCACGATTGCCACTCGGAGCAATCTGCCCTTGAGGCCTAGAGGAAGTGAGGATGCAGCCATAAGTGCAGGTCCCATTAAGAATTTCATTCCCATGGCTACCAGTGTCATCTTTGTACCGCATGCTATGATGCTTGTCCGTGAACCCATGAAAAGGCCTAAGCTGAACATGGCCATACCAAGTCCTCCAGTTGATAGAATTGTTATGGATCGATCTATTACTTCTGGTAGTTTTACTCCCCACCTGAGAGTATGTTAGTTTCATCCCCAAACATGTGTGAAGTGAGAGCAGAGGTATTGTGTTTGGTTTACCTGAATCTTATGCTTGCCCAAATGAGTCCTAATATTGTTGCATGAGTGTTGGGGTTGTAGATGAGCTTCCTAGCAACTGTGAAGAGAATGGACCTGGTTTTGTGCCTCCTTCCATTGCTGTCTCTTGCTTCCTCACCTTCTTCTTTGGCTAATCCTTCTTCAGTTGTATCAATTTCTGAAAGATAAACACTGTGAGATCGCATATCGATTGGAGAGGGAAACGAGTGCCAACGAGAACACTAGTCCTGAAGGAGGTGGATTGTGAGATCCCACATTGGTTGGGAGGAGAACGAAGCATTGTTTATAAAAGTGTGGAAACCTCTTCCTAATAGACGTGTTTTAAAAACCTTGAGAGGAAGTTCAAAAGGGAAAGGGTAAAGAGAACAATATCTCCTAGTGGTGGGCTTGGGTTGTTACAAATGGTATTAGAGCTAGACACCGGGTAGTGTGTCAACGAGGATTCTGGGCCCCGAAGGGTGGTGGATTGTGAGATCCCACATCGATGGGAGAGGAGAACGACATTGATTGAAGAGGGGGAACGAGTGTCAACGAGAGCGCTAGATCTACAGGGGTGGAGGTTGAGAATTATTGGGAGTGAGTCCCACGTTGGCTAATTTAGGGAATGATCATGGGTTTCTAAGTGAGGAATACTATCTCCATTGGTATAAGGTCTTTTGGGGAAGCCCAAAGCAAAGCCATGAGAGCTTATTCTCAAAGTGGACAATATCATATCATTGTGGAGATCCGTGACTTCTAACAGTGGATTGTGAGATTCCACGTGGGTTGGGGAGGAGAACAAATCGTTCTTTATAAGGGTGTAGAAACCTCTCTCTAACGGATGCATTTTAAAAACCTTAAAGGGAAGCTCGGAAGGTAGTCGAAATAGGGCAATATCTGCTAGCGGTGGTCTTGGGCTGTTACAATTGGTATCAAAGCCAGACATCGAACAGAGTGCCAGCAAGGACGCTAGGCCCAAGGGGGTGGATTGTGAGATCCCACATCAATTGGAGAGGGAAACGAGTGCCAGCGAGGGCGCTGGACCCCAAAAGTGGTGAATTGTGAGATCCCACATCGGTTGAGGAGGAAAACGAGAACGAAACATTTTTTAAAAAAGTTGAGATAATTCGATTCAAAAACCAAATTCCAATCCTTACCTATGGCTTCTGATGCTGGAGCTAAAGCAGCTGCTTTAGTGGTAGTAAACTCAAACAGAAACAACAATATATTATACCAAACAACGCTCTGCAAGACAACAATCTGGGCAAGAAGCACATCTGCTTCACTGCCATACATGGCCTTCAATACAGGCAGCCCAAGAATGAGAGTATTAGGCATGGTGGACAGAGAAAGCCCTGTGATTATCCAGTTCAACCCTCCCCTAGACGTGATTTTAGTCACTGCTCCCATCAGAGCAATAGCTAATATCTTCTGAACAAAGTCAGCCAATATCAATTGCAGGTTCATTTTGTAGAGATTGTTGTCTGAAATGACTTGAAATGATAGCAGTGGGATTGAGAATTTCGCCACAAACTTGTTTATTCCACAACATTGCTCTGCTGTGAAGAACTTCCACCATCTTACTGATATGTAAGCTAATATCATGGCCACATACAGTGGGACTGTGGCTGCCACAACATGATACACATCAGACAACGAAATCATGGTCACCAGCAGCTGAGGGGTTTCAAAGTTTTTCCTTCAACAAAACCACTTTTCTCTGCTTTTCTTCATTGCTTCTCAGCCACTGTTCATTGGAAGCCTCTTCATCCAAGACTGCCCAGTCTTCTTCAGCCCTCTTATTTATAGGTGAGCATAAGTACCCGAACCCAACCCGACCCAACCATGTTCGGTTGGGTCGGTTTTTCGAGAAACTTGATCCGACCCACTTACACCCCTAACTCGATTGTTTAGTATAACTCATAACTAAATGAGATTTTTTTTTTCTATACATTTAGTGAACCAACTTTATATAATCCCTCTTGTGACAGTAATATGAGGGAGTAAACTTATGAAAGTGGGGGCATTTTGTCACTGTCAGCTAAAGGTAGATTCTAGCATTCTTGTGCTCATGTGCTTCATGATTTATAAGTTCTTTAAATAAAGCAGATCTAAGTAGGCTGACATGATAGCTCTGTAACTTCTTCCTGCCTTGTTCTTTGAGAGAGAGGTGTTCGGGTTGGATTGGATCGAGTTGAGATAATCTAATCTAGTTTTAAGGAAACTTATTAACTGTAACCGTCCAAGCCCACCACTAGCAGATATTGTCCTCTTTAGGCTTTTCCTTTCGGGCTTACCCTCAAGGTTTAAAACACATCTAGGGAGAGGTTTCCACATCCTTATAAAGAATGTTTCGTTCTTCTCCCCAACCGACGTGGGACCTCACAATCCACTCCCCTTTGATGCCCAGCGTCCTTGCAGACACTCGTTCCGTTCTCCAATCAATGTGGGACCCTCCAATCCACCCCCTTCAAGGCTCAGCATCTTTACTGTCACACTGCCTCGTGTCCACCCCCTTTAGGACTCCTCGCTAGCACATCGCTCGGTGTCTGACTCTGATACTCTTTGTAACAGACCAAGCTCACCAGTCCTCCTTGAGATTCCCCTCAAGGTTTTTAAAACATATTTATTAGGGGGAGGCTTCCACACCCTTATAAAGAATACTTCGTTCTCCTCTCCAACAGATACTGATATGGAATCTCCCAAGCACAATCCATAAACTTTTCATTTATTTGAACCTCAACCCAACTCAAATAGATTCATAACCCAACCAAAGCCGTACAAATTGGGTTGAATTGATCGAATTTTTCGAGTGATCGAAGACCCCTAGAAAGAATATTGGTAGTTTTCTTGTAATAATAAAGCCTGTATCTGGTCTGTTTATCTTGTAGCAGTGGGAAAAAGGAATAAAGAAATGCATTGCAAGTGAAGTAATGGGAATCATAGTGGCACAGTTCAATGCAGTTGTGTGAAGGAATCACTGCTAAAAATGGTCAAAAGCTGAGAATAATTGGGATGGGAAGGAATTTCCTTTTGTGCAATGCAAAATTTAGGTGAGTTTTGCAATGTTCTTTACAATAAAGACTTGAAAACTTGTAGGAAGCCCTTGAAGAATGATGCCCAAGGCCTTATAGAGCCTCAAAAGTAGCTCAACAATTGGAATTTGATCCCTTTTTTTATGTTATTGATTACAAGAAAAATTGCCAACTCATTGGAAAGTCAAGAACACATCTCATTCATTTAATTCATGTTGTGTGAGATATAGAATTGTTTTAAGCTAGTGGCCCAATGGTTCTTCAAATTCTATTCTCCATTTAATTCTGATATCAACAATGGGTATCATCTCAAATTCTTTATGCTATCAAATGTTGTGACATACAATATCTTTTGCTTCTCACTTTGTCCATTGGTTTATGAAACACTGTTCTTGGGAGGGTTATGCTGTCTCCACCTTGTTTCCACTCAAAATAAGCTTTTCACTTCTTTTCAAACTTGGTTAAAGATATTGCTTTTTTTCAACCGACCATATAATTTAATTGGTTAAAGTATATATCTTCGATCATAGGTCAAGAGGTTTAAATTCTTCTACTCACGTGATGTTGAACTTAAAAAAAATCTTCAAATTTCACGTTATTGGTTATGCTTATACATCAGTATTTACGTGCTATGCTTAGTTTCTTATGTGACTCCTCTGGAATAAAAATAGAATATCTATAATGTAACGACCATAGTTTTCTATTCACTTAAAGTTGCTATCGTATGCATGATGTAACTTCTTATGCGAAAATATTCAATTAAAATGTCTTCGTAAAATAATGTTAGGGACTTATATGTTTAATAAAACGGTCTTAAAATAATACAAAGGAAATATTAAAATAAACGTAAGTAAATGTAAAACTAACCTAAGATCTATGAAATTAATTGCAACTACCCTGTCCATGTGTCATGGTATTTAAGATGTCTTGCTTTTACTTGAAATATAGAATAACACATGATTTGAGTATTTTTACTAAATATAATCTCACTATTAGGGTCGGAGATTACAAACACATGCAATAATGATTGGGGACCTATCCTGAACTATCATAAAAGTAGCCTCCAGTTTGAACAAATTGTATAGATAGTACTTCCCTACATATCGCACTAACGTGCAAGCGTGAGCGCATCAGGCAGCTCACACACCCTCTAAGCCCATCCTCTCGCACACCCCAAAATTATTTTAAAGATTGTTGGAGAATAATTAATAAAAGATAATTATGAACGAGTAAAAAGGTATATTTTAAAATCAATTAGTTTGATTAAATCCAATCTAATTTTAGGAAAAATGATCGATCAACTCAATTAAATTTTTATATAATTTCATTAAACAAATTAATAACGGGATTAGTTTTTAAAAAGTTTAAAACATTGTAATTCATATTAATATCGTTCGGGCTAATATAATATCAGTCTAACTAATATAAGGGTTGTGAGTTCTTGATCAAAATCGAGTTTACTTTGTTTGGGATGAACTCACAAAGACTCGATGGGGGACTTCCCTCATAGAGTAGCGCCTTTTATAAGACTCGATTTTTCGGAGAAATGGAACTCAAAGGGAACTAAATTTTTTTTCCAGCTCTTTTGGCTGCCTTTTAGCCCTTTTGATAGGATGCCTATCCACATGTATCCCAAAGTGACGTCGATTTTTTAGTATTGAGTATACTCGAGAGAAATGTTTGGAATTCGACCTCTCCCAAAGTAACGTCCCAAAGTACATTTTTGAGTTGTCACAATTAATGAGTCTGGACATACCAAAAGTGCAGGGAAAAATTCTAGTTTGGTTAAAATCTTTTTTTTAATCCAACTACTTAACCATAGGGTTTTTCAACCCAACCCAACTTAAGGACATTTGAGTTTTATGAGATCTTAGTTATTGGTGCAACATATATTAAAGATAAACATGATTTATTTAGAAAATTTTAAAAAAAAATGAACAATCGGACGAATCAACTTGACCCAACCCAACTCGAAGTTGTCAACCCATTTGGGTCAGTCATGTCACCAACCTAATCAATTCGAAAATTTTCAACCCAACCCAACTCGAGGTTGTCAACCCAGTTGGGTCAGTCATGTTACAAACCCAACGAATTCGAAAATTTTCAACCCAACCCAACTCGAGGTTGTCAACCCAGTTGGGTCAGTCATGTCACAAACCTAACCAATTCGAAAATTTTCAACCCAACCCAACTCGAGGTTGTCAACCCAGTTGGGTCAGTCATGTCACAAACCCAACGAATTCGAAAATTTTCAACCCAACCCAACTGGAAGTTGTCAACCCATTTGGTCAGTCATGTCACAAACCAAACCCAACCCAACCCAACCCAACTCAAAGTTTTAACAAGATTAAATTACATTGTTGGTTAAAAATAGGAGTCAAACTAAGAATGAAGAAGTTCCCTCATATGAGGCATAAGAATAGATGGTTGTTATTCAAAAAAAGGAAAAAGAATGACTGAAATGTGGCGTATAAAAAGGCCATTGATGAGGGGATTAGGCAGGGCAAGCAATGTTTGGAGCTTAGAGAAATAAAGAAAGAAAAAACTGAGGCTTTGTACACATTTTGGTCTGGCAAGGTCTTGTGTTTGGTTTGGGTGCGTAAACCTATCTGGGTTGCTTTGTTAGGAGACCTTGACCAGCCCAAACAAGGCTTGCTTTCCCGGAGAGCCTCCAAAAAACACAAAAAAAAAACACAACAACAACAACAATAAACAACAATGATGGCTGGCTGCTGGTTTAAGGTTTTGATGGTTCTGCTGCTTTCAATGGCTGTTCTTATGCCAACTATCCGAGCTGGCATTGCTGAATATGATGACTTTTTGCTCAAGAAGGCTGTTGCAGCCGAACAAGTGGCTCAGGAGGCCTACAACCCCGACCCCATGAATGTCACTAACCATCTCAACCTTCAAGTTCATTTGTATGTTCATCCATCTTACTCTTCTCCTTACTTTATTTAATTTATCTAAATAGAATTGCTCGTTATTTATCGCTATAATTATTTATTCTAAATGAATGAAAACGTGATTGAATTGGTCCCGGTCACTCTTCGGGACAGAATGGAAGAGGAGAGGAAAGGATCCAATGACTTCGAAAAAATTGAACGAGGAGCCTAGGATTGAATTAGTCCCAGTTACTCTTCGAGAACGAGGAAAAGGATCCAATGACTTCGAAAAAATTGAATGAGGAGCCGTATGATTGAATTGGTCCAAGTCACTCTTTGGGACAGAATGGAAAAAGGATCCAATGAACGAGGAGCCGTATGATTGAATTGGTCCCGGTCACTCTTAGATCGGAATGGAGAAAAGGATCTAATGATACAGAAACCAAATTACGCTTAAAGAATTTTTTCAAGCTTGCCTTCATTCTCTATTTCTGATACTGTGTCTTATTAATCTAGTAAGAACGAGTTTATCAAAATGATATATTTTTTATATTCCTTTTCCATATAGAGCTTTTGAGGGAAGCAATAGCACAAGGAGGGGCTTAGCCAAATACAAGGGACCATGTTTGGCGACAAACCCGATCGACCGATGTTGGAGATGCAACAAAAAATGGGCCAAAAACCGCAAGAAGCTAGCCTCTTGTGTCCTTGGTTTTGGCCGAAAAACCACCGGTGGCAAAAGAGGCCGTTACTACAAAGTAACCGACCCATCAGACACCGAATTCGTAGACCCTAAACCCGGAACCCTAAGACACGCATGCATTCAAAAACGACCATTATGGATCACATTTGGCCGTAGCATGATTATCAAGCTATCAAAAGAGCTATTAATATCAAGTCACAAGACCATCGATGCACGAGGTGCCAATGTCCATATAGCCTATGGTGCTGGTCTAAGCATTCAATTCTCCCGCAATGTAATCATCCACGGCCTACACATCCACCACATCGTGGCAGCCAATGGTGGCATGATCCGTGACGCATACAACCA